ATTATCTGCAGAAATGCACTCACTACAATTTAATCAAATAAATAGCTATTACAATTTAGATTTATATAAAAACACAATACATAACATGGGAAAAAGCCTGTGAATCCGTTAGGAACTGGATCTAAACCCTATCGGCCCAAAAAAACGTAAAAAATTGCCATATCAACTTTCGAACACGTTCTATTTCGATTTTGAAGTTGACAATACAGTTTTTTTGGCACGTTATAAATGAAGACTAAGAAACACAATGAGGTATCGAGGGGAGTAAATAAGACTGCTATACTTAATATTATTATCGTAAAACATTTACTGACATTTTACGGCTCTATTATTAACTTTGATGCTCGTATTTTATAACTTTGAACTGTAACATGGGGACTTATTTCTTCATCTTCTTGGTTGGTACCATAGTATATCGACACAAAATCAAAAAAAAAAATTTCGGAGCAAATAAGAAAGGGAATGTCAAAATTAAAATGATTCTAACTGAGCTATATAAAGACTTATTTGATTCCAAAAAATCTAAGAAGGTTTTATATGTATGAAATTAATATCACACAAAAGTTCTATATACGTAACCATAAAAATGTCTGCTCATATGAAAGTAGAATATAATACAATAAATAATAATACCCGCCAAGGAATCCAATATTCCCGCCCCTCGGTGTCGTAAATTTCCCATAGCAAGGATTCATTGTTGTTATAAATAAATCACATTTACATTAACGAAAAAAAAGAACTAGATCTCAGTCTACAAGATCAGCTGCTATGACCTTCGAACCGCTATTGTCATAATTTTTGCACACTTCCTACAACAATAAGTATCTCCCGAAGACAACAATGGTGATTCAAAATGCTCCAGATTGCATAACAATTGAGTATTATTACTCCAATTTTTGTATCTCAAACTGAAGATTGCGAAGGTAACAATGGCTACAAGTAAGGGTTCAATTTGACATCGCATCTGCTCCAGAGCCTTCGCTTTAAGAATTAGGATTAAAATAAAAAAAGTCTTTTGTTACTCGCATATGTATTATATTAGGAAAAGTTCTAACTTATTTCGCATATAAATATGTTTTAATACCTAACAATCAATGTAAAGTATATAAAAACGTAAGTCAAAGCGTTTGTAATACGATCTTACAGCTGTTTACATATTAGCGTCATTTGTAAACTCGGATTTGTGGCCATATGCTCTAAGCTAATATGAACATATTATAAAGAGGCTTTAGGGTTGCTGAGGTGAGGTGATCCAATCACAAAAATATATTAATATCCATAAAGCCTTTTGTTCAACAGCATAGATTAAAAAAATCTTATGATCGTTCAGAACATTATGCATCAATTTGGTCCAATTAATTTTTTTTTTATTGAGAATTCTATGAAAAATAATAGAATTGAAACAATTTTTGTCAATAATTATTCTAAAGTAACACTTATAAAATATGACACGAGTCAAAAATATTCTAAATTTAACGATTTTATTTTTTGACTTTGACATTTAACTGAAAAGGTCATTTGACATAGAGCTTGTTTTTTTTTAATAGCAGTTTTCTATTTATAAAATGACAGCCAAAATAAAAGTTTCATCATAAATTATTTACAATTATAATAATTTCTGTTTATAGACGGCGCTCACCATATGGCCAGATTAACATCATAGATAAGCCTATGAACATATTGTTGTGACGTTACCACACGCGGTTTTCATTCTCGTCCAAAGAGTTTTTATATATGTGTAATTCAATTTAAAAAATCGCAGTTATATTGTACATCAAAAAAAAACGAATTAGTGTTCTTATACATATTTAGGTACCTAATATTTTTGAATTTCCTTTGATAACATAAAACTTCTGCGTATAAAGATTACATATTTATTTAAACCCATATATTATATGAATAATTTAAGACAAATTTAAGACGTTCCCTTTATTTAGACTAAGTTTAATTGTTTTAATGTTTGAAATAAACAATTAAATGAAATTCTTTTGTTTTATCAATGCAACTATAATTGAATGGAGCGTTATAATTGTTGAGCGTGTAAGTTAATACTTTGACTTTAACAAGTCAGGCACTTCTGTGTAATTGTAATTAGAGTCATTTGTCGAGGGGGCGGCAGCTGCGTACTACGATTATATTGAGTAATATCGTTAAAAATGTATTGAAAAGCTGTAGTCGGGAGTTAATAAACATCATTAACAATTTCAGCATAATTCTATGTAAAATAAAATAGTAGCGGCTCAGATTTATTTATGGTGTACATATATTTGAGGATTTCTTCTTACGTTTCCATAAGACATATTAATGGTAATGATAAAATATGACTCATATATTATAGCAAAAACATAAAGCAAACGAAAAGTAACAGCCGTTGGGCACATGTAACTTACCAGTATTATTGGGTCGTAACTAGAATTTACAACCGTACCGCACAATACGGACATTTGTGCCGCGGAAATATTACATATTTAGCATAATATTTACATAATAACTTATATTAAATACAAATGTCACCGAAATTTTGGAAACAGTACCGTGGCTACGGGGGTGCAAACGTAAGTTGAATTATTCATAAACTAGCGCCACCTGCCGCCAACTGGCGACAAACTGGCTTTTTAAACTTATTTAGTAAAAAATACATACGTAAAACTATATAATTTCAATTGTTAGTGTTTGGAAGATTCGGTAGCAATGCAAAAATGCACATGTCTAAATTCAGCGTAAGTTGAAAATATACATTTCACACACAAATATTTTTAAAGCACACAATTTCTCTGGATGTGTTCACTATCTGCAAATTTCGAAATTCTGTTTAACATTTAGGAAACTTAAAGATATTTTTCCCTCTCCAAATCCTTACGAAATTGGCCAAAAACATTCTTCTCTGAAATGATAATATCTATTATAAATTTAATATTTAGTAGTGAAATAGTTAAGAATGACAAACAAATAATTGTTATATATTATATGTTGACAAAAAAAATTATATATGTTTATTTCTTTGTATATTTTCTTCAATGTAGGAAATTCTCATATGAAAATCTGTTACAATTAAAGCTCTTGAAAGAAAAAATAGTCATCTTTAAGTAACTTACACATATATATGGAGCAAAATTCTCAAAGTAATTTATAGTATAAAAACTTCACATAGAAAGCCATTGAAGCGAATCGAATGTCTTTAGATTGTCACGAAATATGTCAAACGTGGGCACTAAGTGCAGTCTTTATATTTCCTTGCAATAAAGTAACAATTTTGGCGCAAGCCGGTTGTTCTTTTGACTGGTATCGCCTATTATTCGATATTTCATAACTCTTATTTCAAAAGCCATTAAGTTCACATTCACTTGATAGAACTGAAGTAGGTATTTTAATGTAACTCTGCTATCCGCCATAACGTGTTCTTACATCCAGTTGAATGCCGTTGATGCACACCGAATACTCTACAAGTCTAAATTATTTTTACATAAATCTAAACCTTATTCCGTTATGAATTCAGGAATCGTATAAAGTCGAACAGCAATGTAACCTATGTCATTGAATAAGAAACTTTTTGTTCTGCGACCCCATGTTTCACGAGTCGAGACGTGCATTCGATATTAAAAAATATTCCGGGAGAAATCTTAAATTCAATAGTAATTTGAAAGCAAGGGAGAGGATAATGGAGCTAGTCGTACGCCCTGTTTTTGCGGTGTTGTATTTAGTTCGCGAATTCTTCAGGGTCGTTTTGTGTACACACTGGTTTCTGTACGCAGCATGTGTCTGACAGACTATGGCTGGTATAAAACGCGCCAAGATTCTAATTACACAGTCAATTTGGTACAGCGGGAAATATGAATTATTGCCTCAGCGTAACCGAGATCAAATCGGCCATATTTGAACTCCAACAAAGGCTTTTATTTGTATGGAATTTAAATCGGGTTTTAGCATAAGAATGACTTTCAATATTATATTCGTAAGTGATTAGTTTTCTTTTTGATATATAATTGAGTTGATTAGCGATTAGGGCAAAGGTTTGAACCGTTTCTTCCTACATTTAGAAATGTATTAAGTCTTTATTTGATTTACATTTGACTATTGTTAAGCGGACCTTTGGAATATATTTATAATTACTATAGTAATTAATTAACCGTTTTTACATTTCCAAAGAAATATTTAGTATAATGAACATCGAGTATATTACTAAACAATCTTTTTGGAATATCTGTTTACAAAATACACGATAGTAGACTTGGAAGTTAAATGAACTGATTATTATAGACAAATGGCCGCTTACAGAGATAAAGCGCTACGGAATGGTCCTCACTATAATCACAGGCTATATTTATTATATCACGATTAAAATATGCATTGATAAACAATAAATAAAATATGATTTATACTGTATACGAAAGACACCTTTAAATATAGCTTAAGGATATAAAAACGTTAAAAAATAGATATAAAAAAAATTCAAACATGAGTTACAGCACTATTTTATATGCTAACACTACTTTTTAGTCAAGATAGTCTTTATGACGTCATAATTTCAAATCTTTTATTTTATATGGGTATATTAATATATGTCGTTCAGATTCTCAAAAAGGGTTGATGTCAGGCAGGCGGCTTATCGTATAAACAATTAGCCAAAACTATTCACAACATGTAAGGCAGACCCTGGCTAAAGCTGGGAAATTGCCAGGTAGGAAAAGATTAATATATGTCGTTAGTGTCAAGTCAATGTTCTGAACGGTTCGTCTTAATCGATGTCATGATATCCGGGATAGTCTGCGCGTGAAATACTCTCGTGTCAGTAACGGTTTTTGGAACGTAACGAATGGATTGACTATTATTAATGGTCAATTTAATTTAAATTGTATTGAGGTAATTTAGACCATTACTGTAGCAACATTTATATTTACGGAACAATAAAAGGAAATATCTAGTTTTTATCTGATATGGCATGTTTTATTTGTTGTATATTGTTTTTTATATTGTGTATTTTTTTTTGTTTCAGAGTTAAAATGCTGAAGTGGACGGTATATGGCAAAAAGAACCAGGAGGTTCAGGTCGCCAATGATGATGATGACCCTTACAGACCCAGGGCATACGATGAGAAGACCAGAAGGTCTTTAGATGCACAGACGGTTAAAAAAAGTAAAAAACCAACCAGATATCAACGGAGGTCATTAGGCGCTGCCGCTCGGAAAAATAATTGCAGAAATATAGACAAAGAAAATTTTAATTGCGTTGGAAACACTCCGAATCATTTCAGAGATGGCTTTGTTAAGAAAATTGAAAATCTGGCGTTAAAAGATGTGAGTAACATAACACCTACGTCGGTTACTCCTATTTTAGATAAGCGAAACTTTTCTAGAAATACGAATAAAGATGATTTGGCTACAGATTTACCTCCAACTCCACCTACTTATAGTAGAAGAGTGAGAGAAGCGAAGAAAAGAAAACTAGAAATGACCAGTTGTAATAACAATGTGGTATTTGCTAGAAATACTTCTATTTACAAATCAGAAAGGAGATTAAAGCAAGACAGAAGTTTGATAGCGTCTCCCAAACTCAGCCACAGCGTCTCGGAACCATCTCTGAAAGAATTATCTGATCGATTAAGTTCATCTTCGGAGAGTAATAGAAGCTCATTACTAATTTCAAAGCAGTCTCATATAAAGAAACCAGTCAGTACAACAGTGACAGCCAGCGAAGGCTTGGTGGAAATTGAGTATGATAAAGATTTAATCATAAATTGTATAGAGAAGCCATTATTTGTTGATAAAACTAAGTTAGAAAAAACTACCCTACCAATTTTTGGCCATCGCTTATTTACAGATAATCCTGTATATTTTAACAAACATGAAAATGGTGCTCCAAATATTAGGCCGTTGAAGCGAACAAGAAAAAAATCGAACGAATTTGAGAGTTCATTCAAGTCACCAACCATAGATAAAAGAGATGTTCACGCTCTGGTTAGAGATGGTTGCTCTCCAGTTTCGATAACTCCTCTATCAATTAAATTAGCTGCTTTAAGATTCAGTACCATGAGTACTCATACGAAATCCCAACGAGTTCCTGAGAATAACGATATAACCGAATATTTTCCAAAACAAAATCCTTTCACAGTGCCTTTCAGAGACGAAGAAAGTGCGACTGAAATGGAAAATAAATTTATATTAGGCAAAGATTCCATTGCCAGTACATCCGAGTCTACGGTTTCGACGACTCAAATGGGTGACATCACTTTAGAGAAAATGATTGAGGACATTATCAAAAGTACTAAAATCGTAAAGTCTAAAAGAAGAATACTAAACAAAATTGCAGATACTGAGGATATTAAAGAAGAAGAAATTCCTTCACTTGAAGCTGTGAAGGATCTTTTCGTAAAACCGAAACCAGAAATTACATCGAATGTAATTAAAGAAGCGCGGTATGTAAACTTATCTAGAGAAAATTCAGTGTCCCCTCAAACAACTCCAATCAAAAAGAGAACTCCCTTATACAAAGCTAATGAAAAACTATTGAAAAATGTTCCCATTGGTGGGTTTATTTTAGATGATGGAGATGGTTATAATGAAAGAGAAGTAAGAACTCCTGACAAACATTCAACTACTGAACACGATATTAATCCAATCGAGGATATTGCTGTTTTGACTAGATCAAAGTCGATGACATCACGAACGCCAGGAAAAAGTATTCTTCAGCAAACTGAGTTTGTATCAACTCCAGACTTATATTCCGTATTAAATAATAGATTAAGAAGACAAAAATGTATCCGTAGAAAAAAGTCAACAGTCAGTAATGAAAGTCTTTGGAAACAAAAACCAATTGAACACAAATCCTCTCTAGTACTAGCTTTAGAAATGGGTATACCAAGTCCGGCACTCGAGCTTCAAAATACTTCACTATGTCAGCCCTTAGAAAATCCCGAAAGTGAATTCGTTTGTATTAACAATTCGTTGAGATCTAACGTGTCACACAGCAGTTTAAAAGTTTGTGACCCAATACAAAATAAGAGATCGAGGGAGCTTTTTGGATTGACGCTTGAAAATGGCATACCCAGTCCGATAACGCCTGTAACAAATTTAAAACGCACTAGTAATGTATTGAGTGAAGAAAGAGTACATAAAACAAGTAAATTAGGAGAAGAATTAGTACCAAGTAATGCGATAACTCCAGTTATAGAACATAAAACCTCTAGACGCTGTCTAACATATTCGCCAGAAGAGAGTAGCATAAACAGTAACGAAGAAAAACGTCGTAGCGTTGCTAGTAATAGATTAGAACGAAGCGCTGATAGGTTTCAAGCCCTCAAGGGAACAATCGATTTAGAAGTAATTACCAAAAATGATGTAATAGACGTGCACGGTGAGTGGTGACTATCGGAACCTTTTGCTACTCTTAAATAAATTTAATCCTTTGCACATTTCTGACATATAATTTCAATTTTCAGTCATACGTTGTCGAGATTTGCAACGAGCGTCAGGAAAAGTGGATGATATAAATGCTTATGCAAAGGTCAGTCAGTCCATAAGCTACTTAGCAAACAACAATTTTTATGCCTAACCAGCTCATCATAATTCATCATTATAATTACACTTCCAGGTTGTGATTAGTGGTGTAACCGAAGACCAGTCTTTGCCGTCTCAACGATCAATATTTCAAAGAACCTCAGTCCTATATGGCAAAAGGGAGCCAGAATTTCAGCGTCATCTGAAGTTGCCGCTGCCTAATACTATCTACGACCATCAGATGCTGCATATATCTGTATGGCACAGAGACAAGAAGTACAGGTAGGAGTCTTTACTAACATAACTATATATAAGTGTCAAAGTTCAAGTTATTTAATATAATGATCCGATGGGAACGAGGCCGTGTATTCCACCTGTAAATATTTGATTACATCATTACAATTTCATGTGAAAACGTACCAATGAAACGAGAACCCAATTCTATATAGTAACGGTGACTACACATTTGAAACCTCACGAACTTTGGTTACCTACAAGTCGTTCTCTGCTTATTGTACTATGGTCTAAAAACTTTACTCTTTCTTCAGTCCGTACATTAATAAACTGAGTATAATCTTGGCAATATATCCTGGACGTACAAATAAACAACGGACCAGTAGCCGCACGGATGTTGAAGCATTTTTCACTTTTCCCTGGTATGTCATACATAAGATATAGAGGGTGGTTGATGCGGGGCGCAAGGGACGTGCGCAGACCGATCGATTCGGCGCACCCTGGCCAGTCGCGCTTCATCCTCATCAAGAATACGTGTTACGTACAGTACTAGCAAGAAATTACGCATTGTAAATTATTAGTGTAGTGTCACTTAGTGCGGTGTGGTGGGTTCAGGAACGATCGCTCATAGTACTAAAGGGTAAGAGTCATTCAAGGAAAATATACACTCTGATATTATAAGGCATTGATCACGTTTATGGTATCACTTATTAATATCATTAGTACCGTACTAAGAAACGAGACCGGGTCAAGATTTATAATCGACGTGTGTCAAGGTAGTCTTATGTAATTTTGTAGTCGTTTCTAAATTATTATATCCAATGATATTAAGTGACGCTAAATAAGGTAGCAACGAGATATTGTGTCAGCGTGCTAGTAGATTTAGTATGATTCAAATTACAACCAATATTACATTCTCGGCCTGAGAAGTATTTAATATCTTAGGATAATAAAGAGACTGATAAGCTAAGGGTATAAAAAAGTTGATTTTTTTTTATTGTTTAGATAACCAAAGATTATAAAGAGCTTATGGAAATACAGTGTTCTTAAAAACTATCAAGTGTTTGTCAGCTATTAGCAGTAAATCTAATAGAGAGGTATTCTCATATTAATCCAATAATAAATCAAACTAAATTAAGAGTATAAGATCATCATCCACACTTCTGTTCAAAAGTAACTGCATCCATGATCAGAGACGATTCACTAACGGCATGGCGGCCTGCCAGCTTCAGTAATATAGATAGGAAATAATAACAACACAACAGAAAAAATATAAAGTGGATCGAGAATACTCCTTTTAATAAAACGGTTAAAATTACACATTTAGACTTTCTTTTATAAAAAGGAAACATCAAATTTAATACAATCATTTGATTTGAGATTATCTATCGGCTTAAATCAGTTTTATAATCTCGGAATGTACATATCTTAAGTTATGGTTATATATACACAAGTTATTGTTATAAATAAATAATTACATGAATAAATTGATTAATATTTTATAACGCAATGTTCAAACATACTTAATATTTTAAATAACATCAAAGGCTTACTACGCTTTTAAAATCGAGCATTGAATTCGTTCAACGAATATTTGGGTCAACATAATCTCATACAGGCCTTCTACTATGAAACGTTTAAAAATATTGACCTATACATATTAAAATATTACCCAAATAGATTAGTTTTGGTATCTTTCTCTATAAAGTAAGTCAATTTTTATACTTCATTCGCATGAAACAGAACACTTAACTTGTTTTTGAGTTAAAATGATATGAGCATAGCAATTTTACTTCACATGAACAACTTCTAAGAGACTCTTCATATGAGCGCATTTCACAACTAAATTTGTTGCGATTACTATCATACTAATGTACTTAGAATTATAATCATTAAACACAATTGTTGCGTGTTCTGTTTTTTTGTTTGTTTTTGGGACAATGTCAATTCATTTTCTATTATTTCAATTGATTTAAGCCTTTTCATACTCGTATATGACGATGAGTATCAGTATAACTTTGGTTTTGTGCTATTTTAATACTCTTATTGAATTGATAAGAAGAATTAAGTGAGAAGACCAAGTTATGTAATGACTCCAAATTATAAATGATTAAGTTTCATTAACCTTACGAAGTCCTTATTAGTCTGACTAGCTTTCCGCCCGCAGCTTCGCCCGCGTGGAGTTCGGTTATATCGCGTTTCCAAGAGAACCTTTCAAAAGTCTGGGACAAAAACTATCCTATGTTCTTTCTCAAGGTCAACTCTATGTCTGTACCAAATTTCATTAAAATCAGTTCAGTGGTTTAGGCGTGAAAACGTAACAGACAGACAAACAGAGTTACTTTCGCATTTATAATATTAGTAGGGATAGTATACTTCTATTTCTGGTTGCATATTTCATTGTTATTTTTTCAGTAAAGACATGTTTCAAATATCGACAGTTATTCTAACTTTGTCGGCTTCATCGAACTGTTGCTGTAACCTAAAACAGTAAACGAAGTGTCAATATTGAGCTACGTTCACAGAAACTTGAACACAATATATGTATATTAGGGTTACACTTTGATTGATATTTACTATTAAATAGGTATTTTGGTTCATAATTTTAACAATAAAGTGAGCAATTTAATATAATTTTATATAAGGTTCAAATATAATTATATTTTAAAATTACATTCAAGATATCGAATTTTATGAGCTACCTTTACATTATTTTTTCATTCCTTCATGAATAACCTCGCATAGTATTGTTTGTTTTTAGGGAAATTTGATTATGGCATAGTTTTTAAAGTTTGTTTTTGTACATTTAGGTATTCAATTTACTATATATAACAAAGGAACTACCGATCTTATAAAATTTCATTTATACTTTCTTTTATAGCTTGTATTTAAAAAATAATAATTATAACAATAGATACTGTTACTAAATAAATATCTTATTACATGTAAAATGTTATTTAAAAGGTTTCTTAATTACATCAAAAAACATCGAATTACAATCGAATACCCACGAGCATACACATCTAATATATAACATGATAGTATTAACTGTTTGAAATCATTTGTAAATACTTAAATCCAAAAGGGATCGTACAGTCAACCCTAAAGAGGTTGTAATGACCACAGTGTCCACAAATTTACTTTACTTTTATGTCCAGGGGCGCTACTTGTAGCTATAAACTGCGGCCATGCAGAAGGTTGGTCCTTCGTAAATTTATTTACACTACTATACGTATCATTGTCTCCGAAATACAATGAAAACTATATACAAATGAATTGGTACATACTATTTCATGCGAGTAAAAAACTTTTCAATTACCTCGAATGTTCGTTGCCATACAGTTGAAGATACTCCAGAAATGAATACATTTCGGAATAGAGGCTGTATTTCCGCTGCGAGAGCACCATTAGTGTGCACTTAACCAGTTTCATGTATTTCACTTTCATTTTAAATTTAAATTTGAACATTTGCTTAAATTGTTTGTTTTGTACATACAATTTAAATAAAAATTTATAAATATTTTTTTATTGATTAACATTATACATATATGTATGTATTAAAAGTTTTCTATCTAATTAATACCAAATTTACATTACCCTTTTTCAACTCTTCCCCTTTAAGGATCCGATTTATCTAAGGTTTAGGATTAAAGGCTCTAAGGGTGATCAGCAAATACCGTTTACGATAATTCCATTTCGACCCCTACGCGATTTGTCACCACATAGTATTTTGGTAGGATCAAGAACTTTTCAGGATACTTTTTTATATTAAATTAAAGAAGATTTAAATTTATTTTATATGTTATATAAGTATATAATGAGCCTCTGATATTTTTAATATTTAAACTAATACATTAAATTATGAAACATAAACTCGCGTTAATGTAAAAAGATATTTCTAGGAAGTAGGTGCGTTTCTAATCACTTTGTTAACCCATTTGTTGTTCAAACTATTGCCAATGCGACAAAGTGACAGGTAAAGTTAATTCTCTTAATAAAATATGTCAACACGCAACCTTACCAAGAATCGTTACAAAAACATGTAAAAAAATTGTCCAAAATACGTTTTTAATAACAAAAAATGTTGGCAAACTCATGTCAAAAATAAAACATTATATTTTACCGTACAGCCTGTCTTATAACAAACATACTTCAAGTTTTGTATTAAAAAAATACACTTCATATAATAACGTTCTTGAGTCTTTCTGTATATACACGAGAAACAGTTTTGACACTATCATTATACACTTGAAGAATGAAAAAATATACATTTTTCTGTTAAATAGCTGTATTGTTATAACTGGCAAGACGCCAATTCGTACTGTATTACTGTTTTTCCGATTAAAATCAGACTTTGTGTAATATTACTAGGGTAAATCGGTAATATGGGTATTAATATACTCAAGTATAAATCGTTTGCTTGTTCTTAGGCTGCTTTCTCACTATTTAGTCGTTCGTTGTAAGATTTAAAAAATATTTCTAAATAGCCAATAACTCGTGTCGTTTCCGTTGCGTGTTTAACTTCAATTCGTTCTCATAGTAATACTGTACTAAAATTTTTAATGTTACTGTAATCGACGTCCATAAATAAAAAAAAATCTATTTTATTATTACGGCTCTTGACATGATTAGAGTTGAATGAGTTAATAAATGGTTTTGATTCTTCGTAATATGTTTCTTAAACGAAAGCCAGTTTATATGTCGATGCATACACTTTGTGTATCTAGAATAATTTTCCTATAGATTGAAGTGTTCGGAAGAATGTCATTTGTGTCACAAACGGTCGCTGGACTGAGTCAGGCTCGACGCGATGACGTCTCTCCGAGACAACATTGCTCTCACCAGCACGCGCATCGCAACCTGCAACTGAGCAGAAAAAATAGTCTACCAGAATGGGATCCACCAGAGCCTAGAGCAAGAAAAAACAGCCTCCCCGCTGACATCCATGATAAATCCGAAGTATCCCACACTTCCAGTTCGCCCATACTTGAGGAAGAGTGACAACTATCGCCGTAAGTGACCCCCGCTTGGTGTACCCCGACACTAGTCCGCATGGAAATGCACTCCACTGTCACGAAGGAAGAAAGGCTTTCTCAAACAGCCCTTGCATGCTTAGAAGCTTTTGTGAAACCCTAGGGAAGCACGAACACCCTCTAGATGTGTATCGATGTTTGTTATAACAATAATTTATATATCATATATGTAAATATGTTGTCCGAATGATTGAAGTCCCGTTATGTGTTTTACAAAATCGTTGTTTTCCCTCTGAAGAGAAAATTAAAGAAAAAAAATGTCACGACTAACGATGATAATGAAATTAAGTGTTTACTTGAAGTACAATGTACCTACGATAACTTCGCAATCGATTGATGTTTCTTAACTAGCTAACTAGAAACTAATTAGACTAGAATGTAATATCCTGCGTTATGTGAGGTGGTACTTGCATCGACATCTAATAATTGACGTAATTGAAAACATGAGCGAGATGATCAATATGTGGGAGTGGCGCAATACTGAACTAGACGAATGGCAAAAACTTATTTCGCAACGAGGAAACATACTAATAGAACACTAGAACTTGATTGAAATGAAATAATTTCGCGCTTTACGACACATACAATGAAAACAAGTACAAATAAGGCACTTTGGACAAGAGTATTTATACAAAATAACTTAACAATGTTATGGAGCGAACTTGGCACAGTTTAGTTGGCAAGGATCTAGTAATTACAGAAGCCTATGGAGCAAGGTCACGAAAACTTTCCCTTTCAAATCTCTACAACCGTCCAAACATGCAAGCTTTTTATATTAAAGAAGGAGAAAGTTAGGAACAAATCAATTTTGTACACATTTGTGGCATTCAGAACGAACATGATTATTTGAAACGTTTCGATTTATGAATTAGAGAACCAAATAAAAAATAGAATAACCTTCCATCTATGTGAGTCTAAAGTCTATCAAAGCGTCCCGTTATAAGCAAAAAGCTGACTCATACATATTTTATACAACCTACATATGAACAACGCTCAATGATGAATAACTTATTCGCTGGTGTATTTGGAGCTCAAATTGACATACATACACAATGATATAACTAAACTATGCATTCAAGAGTCATTGTGACATTTGAATGTTATTAATGGAATCAAATTAAGGTCTTCCATTGTGGTATCATTATAAAAATATAAAAGAAAGTTATGATGACCTGACACGCTGACTTTATTTTCACTTTGGACCTGTTAACTGTAGGTCTAATAAAAGCTTGTCACAATATTTTACGTTTTGTCTAAAACAATATGTTTTTGTTCTGTTTTTACAGATATTTTCGAAATATTCAATCTCATTGTCATCGTTGTTTCAGGCGGAGCGAGTTTCTAGGATGTGTCTCGTTCCCTCTAAAAGATGCGATTAAGAACGACCTCTCCGGCACTTACTTCCTGCAAGGGCGGCAGGCACCGGCTCCGGACCGCGTGACCGAGCGACGCAAGATGGCAACTGATAACATAGAGACTAGTACCAACGAGGGTGCAAAGGAAAACACGGATAAAGGTAACGTAAAGACAAAATGCTCATTTTAAATTACTAATTAAGATAGCACTATGGTTATGATTATTTCAAGCTATTTAGTCCAATACGATTTCATACTCTTTGGTAGAAGAATAAAAAGGGGAATAAGACATGACTCCGGCCTGACATTTAAAAATAATTAAAGATACAAAATACAAAAGACATAGCTGTATGGGCTTTGTTCTCTTTGTCTGTTCTGAACGGAACGTACATAACCAAAAAAAAACTCTTTGGTAGTGGTTTTGGTGTTCATTTATTTGAAGTTAAGAAACATCTCGATCCCCAGGAGTAGCATCCAACGGCCCATCCAATCAAGCCCAGGTGGCAGCAGCACTACAGCGTGAGGCCGATGAGCATCTATTCTTACGGTATCTGGAACTTGACCCACCCGAAGACCCATCAGCTCCGAGACGGCCGCAGAGAAATGGACGGACGCCTTTCACAACTACTAGGAAGTGAGTGATTATTACTATCATGATCTCTCCTTTCAAAATAAAATCCTTTTAGTGTAGAAATTGCGCACCACAAAAATGTCTTGTATTTAATGCTAAATCAATTAATCTTAAACCTTTTTCTTCATAGGCTGATGCGTGGTACAACTGGCGGTTTCGGATTCACAGTAGTTTGGACAAGACCACCAAGAGTAGAGCGGGTTGCGGCTGGCGGGTCAGCGGAAAGGGCAGGTCTTAGGGCCGGAGACTACATAGTATTTGTTGGCAACAAGAACGTAGTCACCGCTACTGAAGAGGAAGTTCGAAATCTCGTAAAGTTAGCATAACCAGAATATGACATTTAGTATGTTAATAACTTTGATATTCCTAACATAAAATAATTTCCAGGTCAGCTGGTCAAAATTTAAATTTAGAAACATTCCGTCGGGTACCTCAGAACGGTGCTGGTATCAGACCACGACTGGCTCAAGTCACGATACCAGTGCCAGAGTCTACTCCTCCCCCCGCCCCCCGGTCTCCTCGAGCCGTAGCCCTGGCGTCCCCCGCGGCGGCCCGGCCACCAACAGCATGCTCCTCCACCAGCCAATCCCTGGACCGACGCAAGCTCCACCTGCCGCAGGTCACCTTCTCCAAGGAGGTCGGTAACGGTATCATAGTCTAGCGTCCGCCTCTATTTTGGCTCGTTGGATGACTTTAAAATATTCAAACCGAACTTTTTCGAATTTCACACTAGTCATTTGGTATAAAAAATTAATCGAAATTTAAATCGGTTGTAGTGTTGAGGTCCGCCTCGTAGACAAAATCTATTCTTAATTAGTGTGTGTTTGTTTCTTTACTCCTTTCTTTTTCTGTTATCTGTACAGTAAGTTTTAGACATTTTTTGTACATAGAAGATTACTTCACACATTCCACTATCTTATAGATGTTTGATTAGTTTAGTTTTAGTTGTACATACATATTTTTTTTAGTTTACAGTGTATGTGTACACATTATTATTTTGGTTGAACATAATAATAAAATTTTTCAAACAATAAATATTGATAAAGGGGAAATCGTTACGTTTAGGATTGCTGTTTCTGTTATTATTTATTTTGTTAACCTTTTTATTTATTTAATATTATTTGTCATAGATCGTGTGTTATTTTTTTCGAAATAGGTTTTAGTGTCAAATCTTTTTTAGATTTAGGATTTTTGTGTTATTCTTTTATTTTGTTTATTTGTATAAATCACATTTTTTATAACATGTCAAACCAATTTATATTTTTTTGTGTACATCCGTATTTTTTTTTGGTTCCTGTTATTATTTTGTTTCCTATTCTTATTTATGTTTCCTAGTGATAAGTGCAAATAAATTTATGCTTATGATTATTTTTGGTTTTCATTATTATTAAGCTACCCTTGCACAGTTTGAACATCATCATTCATAAAAAAATATAAAGCTGTTTTACGTTGACTAACAATAGTTTGTCTTTTTATTTAAATGAACATAATGAAAGAAGTTGAAAACGAAAATACAGAATCTTTTAGTTTTAGATTTTTTTGGATTTAAGTAGTTTTGTACGCATAAAAAATTACGAGTTATTAAAGAGTACATCGGTAATATTTTATAACTTACAGATTCATTTTTCTTCATAAAACAAAAATATAATAACAAAAACATTGTTTTGTTTTTTTCCTAATCTGTATTTAATATTATTTTGACACAAGTCATAATATAAGACTTTTGAGGGTAACTTTGAATGACAATTAAAATTCATTTAGTTTTACACATATGTCATACATGGTTTTAAATTTCACCGTTTCTTAAAGTTATTTACGGGAGAATTTAATTTACTATGTACCTTATAAGCTGCAGTAGTGATATAAAAATACAAAAATTAAGCAAGACGGGTACAAAAAGTACCAACAATTTACTATTTCATAGACCAACATCCTCCAGGCTCCAGGTATGACAGTAGATGGAAGGAAACGAGCTCTTTTGGCGGTAGTATCAAGAGAACAACATTATGCAACATCTCTCCAGTTTGGCTTGGTTCGGTTCGTTTCACCTCTCGCCGAGAGAGCCGACCTCATAGCACCCAGTGATCATCAACTGCTGTTTCAAAATATTGAGGAGGTTTGAAAATTCGATTATCGTTATAATAAAACACTAAGTTATAAAGTGCGAACGAATTAAATAAGTGAAATCCTATTTCCAGATATTCAGGCTATCAGAAGATATCTTGGATCAAATTGTTCAAGACGATGGTGAAATACAAACATCTACGGTCGTTGCCGTTTATTTACAAAAGACTTCAATGTTTCTTAGTCTTTACAAAAAGTATTGTCTCGGTCTAAAAAGGGCTGATTGTGTGCTGGTAGGAATTAATTATATTTTTTATAAAGTCAAAATAATATTCGTATATTTATAAGTCCTAAAACACTATCCGTATTTTAGGTCAAGAAATCGAAAGACCCAAGTGGTGCATTCTCTCGTTTTTGCACAAGCCCGCCTATACCACGAAAACGGCCAGACATCACCTCATTAGTTCATAAACCACTTGAACAGTTCAGGGAACTTCTTAGGTTAATGAGAACAGCTGCTAGTTGTAGTGGAGCCGGACCATACGATCAACTAGAGAAAAAACAACTTCAGCTTATCGTAGAACAGCTACAGGTAATTTTATATTGATTAGCATACAATAATTCAATTATTTTTCTGACATAAATTTATTAATAATGATATTGCTCTAGTCTGGCTACCAAGACGTGACTGCAGGTTCAGGGTTAATGGGTCTGGCAGGCGATGGAAAACCCTTACTATCTGTTGCTGATCTCGAAAGTAGACTCGTGTTCACTAGATGTAAGGTACGAAAGTTACAGGCATTTATACACTTTTATTATTATATTTATTTAATGCAAAAGATTCTAAACTTATCCTTAATCGGGATTTGTTTCTTTGAATAATTAAAGATATGTTTTTTATTCATTCCAGCCATTCGTTCTAAGTACGGCAGGAAGGCAATGGATATTCGGGGGAGAACTATCTCGAGTGGAAGGCAGAACTATTCGGCCATACTGGGCGTTGCTTTTTACTGATTTACTTCTCTTTGCCACAGTGTCACGTGATCGAGTTCTGTTTGTGACGGAAGAGCCAGTTGCTTTAGGAACTGTGTCAGAAGCTCAGTTTAATGTGAGAAAAAAAGGTAATTTTTTTAATAAACATTTGTGATTTCCATAAGTCGTAAATAACTAAAAATACTTAATTATGCTTTTTGTTTTACTTGTAGCCACCGAATTTCGTCTTATCTTAGGACGAGCTGGTGGTGAAAGCCCACTAGTATCGTGCGCTCCAAGAACTCCTGCTCGATCAAGACCCATAGTTTTGCGCGCTCCGTCCATCGATCTAAAGGCTGTGTGGCAGAGCTTGCTGCAAAGGCAAATGTTAGTAGCAACTACTTAAAATACACATTCAAATATTGTTTTTATAACAAACTGTGAATCCAATTTGTTTGTTTACAGTTACCGAGCACATACGACATCCGGAACGCCCCTCGGGTCCCCTCTTGACTCGCCCGATCCTCAGTTGACCTTCAGTCTTGCGACCCTCGATTCCCAACAACGACAGGTATCAGGATCCAGCATACAACGACACTCAAGTCTCGCTTTATTACCGGCAAGTTCTTACCGCTCACACCTTAATATGCTTGTCGAAGAAAGACCAGAAAAAGAAGTCAGAGTTAGTTTTGACGTCAGACCCAGTTCAGCCTCTCCCCAACCCCAACCTGTTAGAGGTCCTTTAAGTACCGTTTGGAGAACAGCTCCTACACCTGACACTCCTTCCGCAAATTTATCCCCAGTAGATTCTCAAACTTTCTCTTCACATTTTGTTTCATCCTCAAGTATAGAAAGAAATTATGAGAATGCATCTCCCAGCGCCCAGCTGACACCTGAAGCTGGAGAAGATTATTCCGAAATATCACCTTGTCGTTGGGAATCTTTTGAAGCAGATTTAGCATTGGCTGATTTAGACGTTGATCCATCTTACAAACATGCCGTAGAGGAGCATATTTTCTTACCCGACGATACACTTTTACCACGAGTTCCCTTACCCGAGAGGCCAACACCACCCGCTTATCTTGAACTTTGATCTGCGGAGTCTGATCCGGAGCTGGCAAATAAGGGCTATCCCCGGATCCATGGACAAAAATGGAATTAGATTTTAATCATTTTTAACAAAAATCCTCGGTCCTGTACCACGTATTCCAATTCAACTTAAAAAGTTTTTATAAACTATATTTCAAAGTGAATGTTGTTAAAATCGAAATTTTCATAAAACATAAAATTGTATGTAAATATCCGATAAACTGTATCAACTTTTTGAAACGTTGAAGTCCCTTATAGAAGAGAGTTAAAATTAAGGTTGTGGTAAAAATTTTGAGAGACATATTTTGGAACACTAATAAATAAATCAGATTTCAGTATTTTGGCTAACTATAACTGGAAGATAGTCGTAAGCTAATAACCCTTTCAATGATTGCATCTGGGTACTCTTAAAAGGAATTTATGAAAACTGAACTGAATTTTGCTATAGATTGAGTTTCTTTAACTCGCTTTATTATTGATGTGTGTATGCTCATATTAATTATACAATTTACCTTATTATAGAAATCAGTGTCAAATGTAACTATAGGGTACCAATGGTAGTATTTATACGATTCAAATGTAACAGTTCTTAATATTATCGTTGCTTGAGTCTTCCGTCCTATCCTTATGATGTTCTTGATGAGTTAAACAAATATCACCACCAGAAGTCCTTGCACACATAAAGATGCTTCTTTATATTTTACTAAATGGCAATTCCAAATTAATTTGTTCACCAGTTGCTAGTTTTGTAAATGACTTCTCTGTACAGATTCCAATACCTCACACATCTGTACATAGCCTTACAAATTGTACAGGTCATGTGGATATTTGGCGATTAGTTTTGCGATATTCGGTTAATTATATATAATAGTGTCGCTAATTTTATTTTCATGCATCGCTTTTTAATGTGTCGCCATTAGAACAAAATGTGTTACAATGAAAAATGGTAGTTGATATTACATTGTGTGCAGTAAAATTTTAGTCACTGCTTCCTATTGGCAATATAATGCATATAAAAAATACATTCATATTTTTGTTAAGAAACGCGTATATAATCGCTAGCATCGTAAAATGTTCACATAACCTATTTTCGGGTTCTTTCTATGTATATGACCTATTTCTTTATAACAAACATTTTTGGAAATTTAATTCAATAGTTTTGATGTCTTTGGCTGTGTATTTAATGTACTAAATTACTAGGAAAAATGATAATTTTGAGAAAGCCTTTTACTTATTGTTCTGGGTTCTTTGTGGCGTATAATAAATTAATAATAAAATTTGGATGTTTTGTTTAGATCAGTGCAGAAATTTCTAATGATCGGTAAATAAAGTGACTTTGTCAGTGGTGATTTTTTTATTTGAAATTTTATGATTCGACCCTATTTTGCGACGCTATCGAATAATCGATTTAAGACTCCATAATCTACCATTTTTCTATGTAACGCACTTTAAAATTAATATTGAAAACCTTTTAAAAGTAGAAGACAATTCTTGATTATTTTAATATTAAACATTAGTCTTTACAATGCATTTATGATAAAAAATAATATTGAAGAGCATTTTTGGTAATTAAAAAAATATGGAATATTAGCTTTCCGCCCGCAGCTTCGCCCGCGTGGTGTTCGGTTATATCGCGTTTCCAAGAGAATCTTTCAAAAGTCTGGGATAAAAACTATCCTATGTTCTTTCTCAAGGTCAACTCTATATATGTATCTAATTTCATTAAAATCAGTTCTGTGGTTTAGGCGTGAAAGAGTAACAGACAGACAGACAGACAGACAGAGTTACTTTCGTATTTATAATATTAGTAGGGATTTATACAGGAAACTAATTAAATAAAATTCAACAAGGGGTGAGTCATATAATTATGTTTTCTTAATCTACATTTTATTGCAAATCGAATGTTTATAAAATGATCGGCTAGTATCCACTTGATCGGTTTAACAGTGAATTCTTAATTAAATCACAAAAGATTTTTATACAGATAGAAATATGATAGATCATGAAAATCATTTTAGACCCGGCGTAGTTCTGCGGAAACCCAAACGGGCGGAGGTGGGAGTGGTATTGAAATTTCCAGGAGTAATAGAAGCCGAGGATCCACCATACACTTACAACGTTGGATGACACAACTTGCTGAAGCTGAAGAGTTAGACCCTCCTGAACCAGATATGGAGGTAAAAGTTTAACTTGACTTATAGTTCTCAACATAAACACGATTTGCGACACTATTAAATGTTCTCTAAATCGTCTAATTGAATTTCAATTACGTAATATAACTTAACAATATTTTCTTGTAAATTAACATTATATAATTTAAATTATTTTCTGTTAATATGAATTTTTTAGATGTGGAGTGTTGAAGAACTGAGGAAACGCTCGAAGGAACTAAATCTTTTAGACGTAGCTGATATTATTCAAAATAATATTGAAATAAAAGACAGGACCACAGCTACGACTCCGAGCAAAGAAGAAAAAAAAGAAACCGATCGAAGTCCTTCGAAAAGCAGTAATTCGGGGAGTCAAGTATGTAAATGAAATTGGAAACGTTTCTTAGTTCATTCGGTTATTCTGAAATAACATTTTTGACTTTATTGCAGATTACCGTACGAACGAGTCCCGTAGTAGTAGACACAATCCCCGTTTGTAGACAGTGTCATAAAAAGTGTCTATCGAAACCAAATAGTCCACTGGTTTCCCAAAAAGAACCACCAGTACCTCCTAAACCCAAACCTGAAGCTTCCCCACAGAGCTCTGTGTCAAAAAGTACCACTAACACATGTAGTGCACATTGTGGTAATCGTAAGCAAAAACATTTTACTCATTTAGAACGAAAAGGTGCTATCAGAATACGTCCTGAAGATGCCCCTAAGGCCGCGTTAAAAGTTATAGATTCAATAGAACAAAGTCAAAGAATGCTCAAATCAAAGTCTTACGACTTAAAAACCGATTCTCCTGTATTAAATACAGGTATTACAAGAAGCCACACAAAAAGCCACTTAGAATTAAGAAAGGAACACTCAATCACATCACCCAGTCCAACTTCTAGTAGTAGGAATAGTCCACTATCTACTAGTCACACAACATGTAGTTCAATGGTATTCAATTCTAGTTCAAACGATTTACGAACGTCCAATTCAAACATAGCAAACCAAGTTCAATGTGTTATAGCACAGGAAAAATACTTGAATGAAATTAAATGTGTGGAGAGCATAACATTATCAAAACCCAAATCTTTGACATATCCATCACCTTCAACATTAAGAAAAGATGAAATAACAAGACAAAAGGCTGAAACAGTTCTCAACAAAGTGTTGGGCATGAACATTATTACCAGGAGAGAAAATATCGGTACTTGTCTCAAAACCTCGTCTGTTTTTCTAGATGACGATTCAATACACGAAGACGACAATGACTTTAGAATAGAAAGAGGTTTACGACGATCACCCAGAATGGGAATATCGGCAGTTAGTAAAATGAATGGTGATATTAGTACGAAAACAGAATTCAATGAAGATCTAAATGCTAACACCGGTGATGTCCTATCAGATGAAGATTCAGAACTCGGTCCTCTCATGTTGATGGGTCTATCTGCAATAAACCCAGCAGCTCATCTGATGCGCGTTGAACCTTTTAAAAAATCACCAAGCATCGTAACGAAAAAACCGAGTTCCAGGCCTGAAAGTTTAGGTTCCATTAAATCCGAATCACCTGTACCTAATATCTCGGTGGTTCCACCAACACCAGACTATAACTCAACAAAAAAGACTGTAAGAATAAACAATGATGTGTCATACTTTTACATTTAATTTATAGCAAATGTGTTCTGTACATAAAAAATATTTCAGGATGATCTTATAGATGAATCCCCTGACTCCCCAGATGTACCTGAAGATTTGCCTTATGTTTCGCTTAAAAGGTTTTTATATAATTTCTTAAATACGTTAGGTCTACTTTAGACTTTTCTCTTATATTATCTTCTATTTTATTATCCTCTTCAGATATGGTACCATGTCCAGCCTTGAAAGACTGCCATCCGATGAAACTGATGATGGTAGTGTTAGACTGACTGCACAAGAACCAGAATCAACAAAAACATATAATAGTGGTAAAATTCATGAATACATAATATTATGTTCCCTTCATAGAACGACTTACAAGTTTTAAAAACTTTCAGTTACCAGTGCTGCTGGCGGTATCATGGGCTGGACGGCACGAGCTGGCTCATTCGTTGTTGAAAAAATAAACATTTTTAGTCACACGGAGAGTGTACCAAACACATCTATAGCTCACAAACAGCCATCTTTCCTGGAACGGTTTGTTATTATTTACTTAATGCATATAATAAAATTATCTTGCTACCCTAAACTTAATGTTAAATGTTCAGAATATAATCTGAATGCTGTGTTAACTTGTGCTATTTCTTCTTACTAACTAGGATGGAAACAACACAAAGGGAAAAGAAACGCTGAGTACGTGTATAGGTTTGGTGGTATTTGTTTGGATCGCTGTTTTAGAAAAATGCTATATATTTTTTTACAAAATTTAAAGTGTCCTAGATGAAATAGATGGAGCTAGTTTTGGGGATGTCTATAGATTTAATTAATTACAAAAATATACATATTTTATAGAATTAATGTAGAGAAAATTATTATGAAATGTTTCTGCTAGTTTTACGAATTTATATTATTAAATTGTTATTAATTATTATTAAAGAGCCAATGAGAGTGATATTTGTGATAGTTACGTCTTTACTTTTTAGAGAAACTTTTTTCCTATATTGTAGTGTTCGTATAAAATGTTTTTTTTATAAATAGTTTTTAAAATAAAACTAGTTGTTTAGTACATACATTTTTTCTTTGTTTGTTAGTAATCAGATGTAAATATAGTGATTTCACTATAGGTATACTAAGTATGTGGTAATCGTAGGTGTCTTGGTGTGGGAGATTGGAAATCAGCACTTGGGACGGAGGATGGAACCGTAGAGACGGGGGAAGGCAGTGGTGCGAGTGGGGAGGAGGCATGGGGTACACCATCATCTGGAGATCTTTCAGACAATCTTCCAGACTCAGAACATGGCACCCTCTCTGTAAGTCCAATGATAGTAAAGATGAAACCAATGGTTAAGGTGTTAACAACCCAAAAAAATAACATTTACGTCAGGTATTATTCTAAAAATATAATCAAATGCATACGATCGTTTACAGCCTTCATTTCTAATGCACTCTGAAGTCGTATTAACAATTGCAATTTGCATCAGAAAAAAAAAATATTAAATTCGCTCTATTATGAACTAAATTTCAATAGAATTCCTTGTAGTTTTTTATGAAATATATTTTTAAAAGAAAAGATACTTACCATTTTAGTCTCCGACAAAGTCCTCGTCGTCGTATGCGGGTGATGATGATACAGAATTGATGATGGACGAACTTCTGATGGCACCAACTATTACTGGGCCAACGACTTTAAGACCTCTTTTACCAAGGTATTAAATTAATTATGCATTTTGTTACTACCCCTGACTGCCGTTTTTATATGTCACTATTCTTATTAGGGATGTATTTAGAAGAAGACTGGAACCACTTCTTGAAGAAGATGGCTCTGATAGTGGTAGTGAAGATAATAAACCTACTCCCACCAACTCTGAAGACCAGGTGAATATAATGGATAAATTTAATGAAAACCAAAGTTTTTTGCTACCTTGAGGTAAAGATGTCTAAAATGTAAAACAATAAAACAGTATACAGCAAGACTTATAAAGTGTACATCGGACTAACAACAATAAGTCTTTACAATAAGACATCTTGATAAAATTGTGTTTTAAAAAAGTTACACAATATACAAAATGTATGATAACTGTTTGATTCGCCTACTACATATATACCAATTTCGTCAACATTGTCTTATTTAAATATAATAAGTCGTCGTACAAGCATATAATAGCATGTAGACCTAACGAAACAATAGAATGAAATTTGACTAGCAGTAGTTTGTTGCATGACCCTAATCCAATAATGTTTATCGTTGAAATTAGGTTATTATTGGGGATCCCTGTGTGTTATCCTATTGATCCGAATGCTAAGTCCAAATGTGAAATTACTTTACCTTGGGGCTATTGGCAAATCCCTGTTGCATAGACTGTAGCTAGGTTCTATCTCACATTGTGACTGGTCCGCTGGTGCGGCGCTTGGCGCAGGACAGCGAGCGTGGCCTCGATGCTGACGTCTGCTGCGACGCGCCGCACCGGCCGTCCTCTGCCTCAGAAACAGGTAATATACTTAGACGATATCTTTATTTGAACACTGCATTCTATCTAGTTGAATTTTTGTTTAATGTAAATACAATTTATATGATAGTACTATGTTCGTGAGTAGAATTATAAGAGGGTATATCGTTTCATATATATATCACAAATACTAACAGAACACATTTAATAGGATATGGACATCTTGACTAAAGATGGAAGGTGAGAAATCGATGATGCCTTATTTTCGTTTTATAAATTATTCTACATTTAAGGTTGCCACGATACGAAGCACGTTGCATGTAAATTTTATTTTATGGGTCTAAATGTCGAGAACGCTGTCCTTTAAAATAAATGTCGTTAAACCCTAGCATGGAGTAATAAATGCACCCCACCAACACACCACATTACATATAATTCTTAAAGGTATACAATATAACACAATTGCCAAAGTCATTATTTCGGCGCAGCTTAATTAAAATTTATTTTTCAGCTCATTTACATGCCACTCATATTTTTTTGCGTCTCAAACTGTTCATTACTCCCCAGAAGCAGAGGACGGTGTGTGTGGCGCGGAGGTCGTGGGAGCTGCCGAGCACGCTGGTGGCGCCGCATGCGACCTGAGTCCAGACCAGACCCCCACCAACGAGGCACCTTCGATGCCCTTACAATCTGGTATATATATATTTGAGACTTTTGCCTTGCAAATCATTCTATCGTTCACGTGCTCGTTCTATTGTACTGAACTGCGTCTTGCGTATTATGTAATAGTTTCAAGAGAGTATGTGGAGCGAGCATCTGTTGGCGGAGGTCGCCGGGGCTCAGCCAGTTCAGCCAGCACACCCTCCACACTCGAACGCACCACTATCCACAACCCCACACCCCTACATCAGCTGTCACCAGGTAACACTATCGTTAACTGAAGTCACTGTATAGAAAATTTTATGAACACTGAGGAAAACTTATCCTTCTCGAAGATTATACATAGTACGCCCCAGAGACTAAATACCTTATCGCATTTAGTTTTAACATGTGTTTTCAGATTCCTCTCAGCTGTTTGAATAACACTTGCTGCGCCAAAATTATAATAAATATAAATTAGGGGCAAAGGATTTAAATTTTTTGAGTAAAAATATAAATATACTAACTATCTGAGCATAATCGAGTGTTAAATTTTCAAAAAAACAACTTCTTAGTTTAGTTGTTCAATTTACTTAATATGAACCGTTATTGTAGTTAACCAACTTTGTTTCTATGTGTATTTTCTTTTGCCTTTCAATTTTATGATTTGTTTTTGGTTCCGTTTTGGTCTAACATACATATATACCATTTATCATGATGACGTAAAAATATCATTCACATATTTCTTATACACTGATCGTGTTTATAAATTTCTTTTCAGCTTCGGAGGCCCCAGCTGCAGCGGAGCCCCGCGAGGTGACGTCACCGGAGCGACTCAGCCCCCGCGCAGAGATGCGCCTGGCGTTGGACCAAGGGAAGGACATGCTGGCGGAACAGGAAGTGGCATGGGTAACATTTGTACAACTAACAGAATTATCATAATTACATGCCGAAAATATGAGTTTAAAATTCCGTTCACGGTTGTGAGCGATAGCAAAAAGGATAAAGAGGATACCCCTTTTTTATACAACATGTGACCCTTTACCTGTTTTAAATGATTATCATTTCTGTATGTACGTGAGCAGGGTGGCTCGCGCGACCCCTGGTCGTTTCGCGTGGCGTGCCAACGGTCGCTGGTGCGTCGCGTGGCGAGCGCGGACGCGGTCACACTGTGCCGCACCGCCCCAAATACTACTTCGCGCAGTTCTGTATATGCTTGGAAAGGTACCGAGATAGGACGTAATTTTTATATGACTTATAATATATGGCTAAATAACAATAATATCTCAGCTCCAGAAACAGAAACGAAACTTATGGAGATGGAACAACTGGCACGAGCGGAAGCTCAGACGATGCGTTCGCGGACGCGCTCTCAATGCCAGAACGGGAAGATGTGAGTGAACTGTTTCTCACACGTTCCGTGTATCTTTACGTATAGATGATATCTCCATAACTCCATATGTTCATCCATCACTAGCCTGGGTTTCCTCCGTCGCCGGGCGTCCTCTGACAGCCCTCACCGTGAGCCGTTCCTGCTGAGCTCGCGACCGTTCTCCCCTCGCCGGACCTCTGTGAGCAACGCTGGATATTACAAGATATGCTTTGTTAATGGCCATGTCTGATGCACGGCTTGCGTTATTCGCTGCATTTGACTTCATTAACATGACAATGTGTTGAGTTTTTTGAGTAGTTGTTAACTTTTATAGATGATTGATAGTATGGAAAGTAGATACGTTTTGTTGAATTTGATGAAATCTTATATAGGTCGAAGTCCATGCGAATTTAAATGGTCCTAACTGTAATGTTTTAAATCTTTGAATTAGGGTTAACGGCAATAACTTAGTATTTAAGATTTACACCGATGTATGACCAAATGCAGTTGATAACAACTTATACGTCAGCTGGATTTAAACTAACATTTTACATACTGAAAACCAGTTTACTGATCTTATTGGAAATAATATAACATTCTTTACCTACTCTATCGACTGTGCCAATATTTTAAAATATTGGAATAGTAACTTTTACATAAACTTTTTACAGCAGGTAATCGTATACACTTAGAGCAATTAGGGCTAATGTATGCCTTTTAAACTGAAATTTAATATTAATTAACATAATTTTACTCTATGATATTAAAAAATGTATGTTTAAAGAAATCTTCGTCCCATATTTAAAATAATTAGTGAGTATTTAATGTCTTAACTTTTATGATTATCTTATACACGCACTAAGGGCATAAGTCAATTGTTCTTGCTTTTTGATTAGTGTTTAAATCCAGCTTTGTTAGTGATGTAGTTTTTTTTATTAAGTCGATCTGTCCATTTTGATGGTATGTTTTGAAAATATATTTCTATTGAAATTCATTATGCTTTTTTATTCTGCCCGCTGTGCTTCCCTCGTTCCATAGAGTACTAGTTTTGCATTGATTAATTATATTGTTTTAATAATCACAAAAATCAAAAGTAATCTTTGAGGAATGTTTGCACTAAATCATTTAAGATAAACTTTATCGTAGATCACTCTAGTTAAAAAATACACTATTACATTAGAAAAAGTTACATTCACTTAGAACGAAATGATAATGTCACGTTAGACGTTGTACACGAAACTATAATGTGTTATTCTTTCAGGAGAAACATTTCGAGAAAAGATTCTGGAAACAAGTGACCAGAAGACGTCAGTCTTGCGGCTCCATCAGCCAAATATAAGAATTGACAAAGACAAAGCCCCAATATGATAGTGTTCATTTACAATACCAGGCTGATCGGTAGAAATAAGTTAAATATAGTGAGAGTGTTCATAGATGGACCACGTGGTGGTATTGTAGTATATTAGTGTTAGTGGATGAACGATGATCGTCACAGTATAAGTGTTTGCCAAAAGTTTGCTAGATGTGAAAGGATTTGCCAAAGACGAAAGGGACCTGTCGACAAACTTCATATCGTAGGTAGAAACCATTTTAATATTGTAGATAAATATGTAAGGCCTCATGTACAAACTGTCAACGGCTTAGACTCTTAAGCTATCATGTATATATAGATAATGATAAGCTTTTTAAGCTTAATCTTTGTATAATTGTTTAGCTAATTCTTGTATCGCTGTTGACTATGAACAATTAATGTTCCAAAATTCATTGTTATTTATTAAATAAGTAAGTTTTTTCCGTGTTTTTATGTATTACTTTTAAATGCTTGAATTTTTAGAATATTTAATCTTTGACGTCTAGACTTTAGTGTACGATACGAAGTCCAGATACTGATTTTCATGTTGAATACAGTTTTAGATAAATAATGATGTGTTTATCTGAATGGTCGAATTTATTTATTAAAGTACCCTTTGGTACACTAAGTCGTCGTTCATGTCTCGTTTTCACATCGCAAAATAAATTCAAAATAATATTATATTAAATGGCTTTTATTTCCTATCAAATAAATATATTGTTCCTGCAATATACATTTGTAGTACTATATAATTCTTACAGGCTGAATCTTACAGCTTATAGCTTCGGTTATGTCAATACTTTATCTTCTTCTACCTGGCAATTTCCCAGCTTTAGCCAGGGTCTCCCTTACATGTTGTAAATGGTTTTGGCTAATTGTTTTTACGACCGCCCGCCTACCTGATATCAACCCTCCTTGGGAATGCATTAATCATTACGACTATTTTAAACAATATAAACCTGAAATATATATTAAATAAAAACAATAAAAATTGTTAAGGCACGTATATTGTAAAAGATTATCAAAATACAATATCAATCAGTGTGTAAATATATTTAGTATTCCATTGCATTTTAGCACCACTAACGTAGACCTCCACTAAACTAGTCACCTCCTTACCATCATAGTTCTCATAAAAATTGACAATGTAATATAATTTTTATTAACAAATATGAAACGCCGATAAATGACTTCATAGATGTAACTATGTTCCCACAACTACCCACATAGCAATCAAGGCAAGGAAGATTTGAAACCGCGAACTAATTTAAACGATTCCTTATAAACTTGCCTCGACTGCTAGGTTCCTCAACATTATTATTTACAATTTAAAATCAACTTAACATCCACTGGCAGTAACAGAAACAGTAATATAGAATGTTATTCGAAGCGGATTGTTATCGCGTTTGGCACAATGTTAGTTAAATTTTAAACTAAGTGGTAATATCGTTTGAAAATTATACTCTCGTATTGCATAGAACTTAAAATAAGGGACGGATTAATGATTATACTAATTTATAGTTATAATGGCTTCACTTAACTTATAATATATTTCAAAATGTTCATATTAAATTTAAAGATTATACATAATCTATAAGTGTTATGTGATTAGAATTTATATAAAAATATTCGTCTTAATAACAAAGGGAATGATATAAGAAATAAAAATATATATTTTGATATATCATCTAAGTATTAAAACATAGTTTGATCTTATAAAAAGTCGGATGTCACAATAAAAGGCAGTGAAGATTTTAATAAGCATTTGAGCGAACATTTCCTTAACATTCACTAACATATTACTCTATTTATTATGTTTTTTATATTAATTTTGTTAAAATAGATATTCATTTTTTATTTTTTGTTATTTTACAATATTCACGCCTATCCATAGACCTCTTGCCATCAACGCTAGTGAAATACTAACAAATTTCGACGTCACTATAATGTACATTTCTTTCATTTATTACGATCAGTTTCGACATTGAATCATAAAATTATCATTCATTCCCTCCATTCCCTAGACGCCTGGAACGTGCGCACTTCAGATGACGTGAAGGTTGTCATTCCTTGAGCTCCTGAATAGAAACGAAGAAAATATTATTACTACATAAAATAATCTAAAAATGATATAGCAATTTTATTACAGTCACTTCTAAAATCAATATACAATATTAATTAATTAAATTGAATTATTAGATAACATTTCTTTTGTAATTGAAATGAATTGATAATAAATTATAAATCACAATTCATAAATTGGTGAATTATATTAAAGTAATTGGATTGAACTATGAAATTAATAAATATGTATTAAAAAATAAAGCTTAAAATTTATTTATATTTGAACTGTATAGTAATTAAATTAAATAATACTAATTAAATTGAATTGTTTATTAATTGGATAATAGTTTAATTGTAAATGTAATTACATAGTTAATTGATAATAAATTAAGTTGTTACTGACATAGGTATAAGGAAAATGTGTACTAAAAAAAGATGGTTCAAAGATGCCTAAATAAATAAAATTATTATTATTATTTTCCGGAATTTTGTTTTTCTCAGCTGGTGTAAACTACATTCACGGATATAAATCAAGTGAATGCAGTATGTGGTGTGTATTATTTATGTAAATAGTATTTATGTGTAATATTTATGTTGTTGTGTCATTCTCTTCTAATTGCATGAACTTTCTTACTATTCTGCTTGTGTTCAAAATAGCAGCCTTCTGTATAGGGATATAGAGGGACTCATTTAGATCTAATAATCTTAGACTATGGAGATGGTTTGGGACGACACCTGTTGTGGAGATAACTATAGGGATGATGTACGAGTACACCTTTTCTTGTTATTGTTATTATTATTATTATTATAAATAAGAACAATAATTTTACTGTCACCTATAATACCTCTGTTTCGTCTCGGTGGTGTGGGTGTGACGTCACCGTCGGGGGCCGTCCATCGTTCCGTGAGCTCTGTGGCGGAGCGAGCGAGAGACGGCTGACTCACTGAGCGGTGTAGAGAGTTACGCCACGAACTATAGGATAATGAAAAACCTCAATTATATACATATGAAATTAAAGTGATATATAAATGTGTAATCTTGGATAGGTGTTGAGGTCACCTATTTGCATTCGAATGTATGTGTATTATTAGAATGTCATATTTTATATATGTCATATTTTATATGGCAGACCCCGGCGAAAGCTGAGATATTGCCAGAAAGAATAGAAGATTTTTCGTACTTCAGAACGGTATACTTCTAATTGTCTATAGCTGGAACGATTTCGGTATATTTTCATAATTCGCACCTCCGCTCAAATATTGTCATAAGTCAAAAATCCCAACTTTCGAATAAAACGCGTTTGAAGTTAATGCTAACTTTACTTTTCGGCTCATCACTCAAAAACTGTGAAAGTTACTGCAATATGATTTTAAGTAAGTTATAATGATTTTTGACACTCAACAAAATGTTGTAATAGACTTTTGGAATATATTTAAAAAAAAAATAACGGATAACGGATGTAAAAAACGAATCATTTACGAAATATTGACATATATGGATAAATAGTTGAACAATGGGCATGAAATTTTTTGAGATAAGATTTCGAAGTTTTCTGATTCCAATAGTGCAATAAAATTGAATTCAACTTTTTTTGAGTTGTGACACTATTTGAGCGGAGGTGCAAATTATTTTCCATGAATTATTTCTATAAGTAAGTCAAGTCTATACTATTCTACATATAGAGGTATACTCACGGATGCTGGTTGTAATGGTGCTCGGAGTCGCTGTCATCGTCGTAGTATCGGCCGAGCAGAGTCCCAGCGGACACTTCTGAGTGTGTGTCCGCCTGCTCCCTCGCGTAGTCCACCATCATCTCAGACATAGATCTAGATAAAATAAATACCACATAAATGACCAGAACTACAAAAATTTTAACCGTCATAGATCTCGATAAAATGGATATCACATAAATTCCCAAAACTTCGAGGATTTTAATTGACACCTTCGTTACGGAATTAAGGCTTTTTCATTTGTCATTTTTGTAGTAGACACGTAACTACATAAATGATATATATATTTAGTGTGAAATGTCTTATTCGTGAAACAAGATATTTGCAAAAAATTATAAATTCCTCTCTTTAAAGTGATTCCCATTTTATTGAAGTACTCAATTACTTATATACTAGGTAATAATGAAAAGTTCCTCAGTCAATTATATACCCTGATACTGTGGTAATGTATTCTATTCTAGTAACTATTCCCACCTCATGTCCACGTGATCACTGCGGTAGGATGACCGCCGTGATCGTTGCGGCTCCCTCAGCGAGGTGGCGTCACTGTCGTACTCATACAGTGTGGGCAGAGAACTCCTTCTTGAACGAGACTCCCACTCAGACTTCTTGCGGTAGCGGTTCTGGGGACGGACATAGAAAGTATTAGTGATATTGTAGCTATTGTCTTCATGGTAGTCCAAGTAGCCTTTATTCGAATAGATTTTGGATAAAAAAAATATATATATATATATATATATATATATTTTTGGAAGCATCCAAGTTTTAAACATATTAAAAATTCACTCATTCTGTGCATTTTTGCCAATCGTATGACTACGGACGTATCTAAAATAACTGATGATTTTTTATCAGTAAGTCAACGAACCTTCGGTTTATCGGGTGGTGGCGCCAGGATACGTATAATAACCTCCCACTTGGGTGGCGTGTACAAGGGAGCGTAACGATGATCTCGAGATACGCGAGTGAAGTCATCCCTGGAGGAGGAGGAGGCGAGCTCTCGCCGCAACGTGCTCTCATGAGTGATGAGCTCGCGCCAACGGAGACGCTCCTCACGAGTTAGGCGGTGGACACGCTCAGATTCTGATAGCACCTGAATATATAAGGATAAATTTCAAATATAAAAAAGAAAATCTAGAATTTTCTCTTTTGGCATACTATATTTGGCCATATCTCACGGGATGGTATAGCGGTGTGTCGCGTATGTACGGCTCAGCCGGTTAGCTAATTAATAAATTAATTATATTATTGTTGTATTATATTTTAACAATTTATTTATTATTTTTTATTAACAATTTATGTTTTATTTTTAAATGAGTCATTGTTATTTGAACAAATGAAATAAATAAATAAATATAACTGATGGTTTTGTTTTGTTCACACAATGTAAGTATCTGCCATCTCTCATATACAAGTGTTCTTATGGATCAAAAAGTTAGCTAAAATCTAATAAAGAGATATAAATGGTGTTAACCTCATCTTGCGCTTCAGTCTTCAGCACCCTAGTCAACACGCTCCAATTCTGTGGGACGGGAGGAGACGGGATGGGCTCCGGAACATCTTCGTCGTCTTCTTCTCTATAAAGTGGATTACGAGCTGGAGGCAGTTCTGGTAGTAACGGTAAATCAGGCGATGACGGTGAGTATACCGCGTCTGTCTGTTTAATCAGCTCAGGAGAGAAGAGATCTGGACCTCCTTTTCCTGTAACAGCATTCAAAATATTATGCAATAAATATTTGTAAGTCTTTTACCATTTTAAAGTTAATACCATTAAACTAACCAATAAATTTCTGCGGTGGCAATGAAAGTGGTACTCTTTCCATCTTCGGCGTCAATGTCATACCGGACGCACTGCTGATGTCTGAGAAGTTCTCCCACTGTGCCTCCGGCTGCGTGTGGTTCCTTATGGTGACGTCAAACTGCGGCACGTGCGGCACCTGCCGGTACTCAGTCACCAGACGTTTGTGACGTTCGATGTCTTCGATCGTTTTCTTCTCGGTGATAGTTCGAAGGAACACGTCGTCCACCACGTGTGATGTTATTTCTGGTTTCCTGAAATATTCAACTTTGGTTAATATTTTCTTGTTCAATTTCTTATGAACATACAAAATATATGTCATGTTTTCAAACAACTATCACAGTAGGCTAAACTTTTTTGTTGTGCTATGGCTGAAGCTATTCACCTAGAAAGTGTGGAATATTTTGCCAATGTCAATAGCATACTATATATGTATGTAAATTAGTACTAATTAATTTTACTTCGTACCTCGCCGGCATGATAGGTGTCTCGGGGATGGGTTCGAGGCTCTCCATCAACATTTCCTGTTCCTCTGTCTCCAAACGTTCCGTCATCACGGGTGGTGGTGGAGGTGGTTTCTGCAAAATCCATATTTATTTATTAAGTCGATTAGCTTCTGTGAATAGGTGTATTGTTAAGTCAGAACTGATAGAACATGTATATTAGATCACAGATATGAGAATGCAAACATATAAGTATAAATAGAAAAACCCTTCACCTCACGACATTAATGATAATTACCTTGATATGGAACATTCTGGCATGTGACCGGTCAGTTACCTCGGTGACCGAGTGAGTGTCCGTCATCTCCGTGTTGAGAGAGGCGATGGACCGCGGACGACGGGACCATTCCTAGTTAGTGATTGTGGATGTGATTTTTAGTCATTATTATATGAGAGTGTAATTAATTATTAGGTACATATTGTTATAATGTTCAGAGAGAAAATTTAAGAAAGTGTGAGATCAATCAGTATGGGTGCAACAACAACAAACACGTATGGTGCAGATGAAGGATCAGCGTCACATAAGTATTGACACCTTATGAAAATTACCTAAGAGAGTGTCCTTATATGTATGCATCGATGTACTTTATATTTTACTTCATAATACCAAAAAAAATCTTAATGACATGTAAGATTTTCGCGAGTCTTATTCATTTAAATGAAACTAATATTTTACGGATATACAACGCGACTTTATTTTTAATAAACCTACATACATTTCGGCTACTTTTCAACACATGATCACGGGCAGGCGAGATGTGAATGTCTGTCAGTTGGTCTTGTAAAAATAATCTTGATGGCATTCATCATTGTGTGAAAAAAAAATTATAGAAATATTAGTTTATTTTTGTCCAAATTAAAATAATTTTTCGGAGATGAAGATATCCCTCCATATAGCCGTTCTATTTTATTAACAAGATATTCACCTGTCTCTCCCTATGGACCTCGGTGTATAAGGCGGGTGGTCGCGGTGGTCTCTCAGGTGGTGAGGCGTGTACTGCTCGTGCTGGCAGTGGTAGGGCTCCAGGAGACACTGTACGGACGGACTCCTGTCTCTCGTGTTCCTCCACCAGAGTCTGCTGTCTGTTGATCAAGAGTATTGGCTGTTGCAAAATTCGGTACAATTCCGTATTTGAATTGTTGTATCTTTATATATATAATTCTTCTGTGAGTGTGTATGTCACTGAATTTCTCTCAAGTGACTCGACCGATTTTGATGAAATCTGGGAGTGGTTTAGATTCACAATTTTGTCCGCTGGACAATGTTTTTTTAATTAATTTTTAATTTATTAGTAGTTGTTGATACGAACGTTTTTTTTTTTGACATTAGATTTGACAACTAACTAATATGTCAATCATTCTGTCGCACTTCAAAACACGGAGATTTATGGCTTTAATAGGTAAACTCCAAATATAAATTTAAAAAACCTAACAGATATTTCTTGACAATAGGGCACTTCGAAGGTTGCCGGGTCTTCTAGTATTTATATATCTTGCTTACCTGATGCTACCACCGTCAACCTCAGTAGTAGTAATGGTAGATACTGGTGACGGTGGTGCGGGAGGTCGTTGAACCCTCACTCGTACATCAAAGGCTGGTGGCGCCGCTCCAGCTAGACGAGAGTGGGTCAGACTTGTTTCGTGGGACTCCCCATAGCCTATATAATGATCAAAATAATTTTTTATTATGTCCCCTCGTATTTTCCAATCTGCTCATACACTTATCCATAAAAAAAGGCATAAGCATTTTAATAATATAATAAAATATAAGTAGTATCATATCTTTTTGAGTTCTAGTTGGGAGATTAATGACAAAGTTGAAAAAAAACATCCAAACTTTTAATCATCAAACTGCTGAAAACCCAAAGAGGGGTTCCCAGAAAAGACGAATCAATATATTACACAACACAAGCTCGCTTAGTGTGGACGCCCCTGGAAATCGCGCCATGTTATCACTTCAGCAAGATATTGTTATGTTTGTAATTGTGTTCCCTGTTAACATTGAGTTATTACTGGTAATAAAGTATTTTCATTTTCATATCTCACCCTCGCTCTGGTAGTCGTCTATCATGAACGCCTGGTTGGCGTGTGTGTGGTCAGCTTCGCTGGGAGTCTCCGAGGGGTAGTCTGAAGGCAGCGTGTCGGAGGCCACGCTCGCACTCTCAGCCGCTGCTGGGTATACAGGGTGCGCGCGGGGGATCTTCACCTCTGTTAACATAGAAATAGGCTCTTAGCAAAGTTATTCCACTAGGATATGACTGAAATATAAGTAATTTATAACCTGAATGTATTGTAAGATAAAGTTGACATAAATCATTTATTGTCATGAATATTTTTCTTAATCTTTTTCCTCGTAATATCTAATGAAAAAACAAAACTATTCAGTTTCTAATTATATCAGCATCAAAAACATTTTCCTACTAGGGAAAACTGACCGAAAATTGTTAAATCATTCTTGCGGTTCAAAAATAATGTGACATATTTATATATAAAAACAAAATTTAATGCATTATATATTAGTAATGAATTTATTTGCTTGATTTCTCAATAATCACCTTGTATACTCTCCCTGCTGATGATGGAAGCGGATGAATCATCAATAAGCCTCCTGGGCGCCGGTAACGTGCGTCGGTTCAGACACAAGTATGACACACCGAGCCCCAAGAGTAATAGAGTGAGGAACAGGATGGCGCAGATTATCAAGAGGATGTGGGTACCAGCTAAGGGGGCCTTTGCCGGAAGAGGCCCTTTAGCTTCAGGCCTGAAATAATAATAATGTTAAACAAAAATCAATCAAAGACGATAATTTGAAACTATGGAGACCTAAAGACAAAAAGCATATTATTAAATAAATAATACATGTAGAATGACCGTGCAGTTTTTTTGTACGCAATTTCACACTTAACTGCACTCAAGGTTGTTCGGTAATAAAGTAGGTAGCATCATAATTATTCAACAATAAACACACTGAGAGCGTGAACGGATCAGATAAAGAATAAAAAAATGTGTTATGATTTTATCAAACTCACTTGCTAAAAGTAATGAGACTGCCTCAATTTTTTGTGGGTAGGAATTAAAATAATAGCTAAGACAAGAAAATTGTTATAGAACAGGGCTGTCCAAACCTGATGGGACCCAGGGCCAATAAAAATAACTAAATACATTTGTGGGCCGCAAAATACTTCTAAAAATACTGGTTTGGGCAGCCCTGTTATAGAAGATGAAATATGTTTTTTGTAACATACGTGTATATGAGAGGCTTGAAGACTGGTACAATGGGAGGTGGGTAGCGGCAGACGATAGTGATTACTTCATCACCATCCATTTCCAGTCCTGGATGGAATCGGACCACTATGTTGTTTGTGAAAACCCGCAATGGATCCTGCCATTATAAAAGTCCAATCATATTTCCATATTTTTAAGCCCTACTAATTTTATCTCTAAATTCAAATAGAATTTCCTTTCTTTTATCTTACTAAAGAAAAACGTTTTCACATATCTTTGTTATATTTTTTACTGTAGTTTCTATTGACCGTTTTTATCGTAATTTTATAATTGATGTATAGTTTTGTGGAATGAATGAAGTGAAATATATAGAGCGTGAACTCATTGCGATCTACTCGAGTAGACGTATCGTCTGACTTACCGCAGAAAATTATAAATAATGCAAGTATAAGAATATTTGAGATTCAGGAGTAACTTGCAGCTAAAATAACAATGATTAGTAAATATAACAAAATATAACAAAAATAACAGAGTAGGATTTGAACTCGCGACTTGCAAAATATAGTGTCCAAGACACATTAGAAAATGAGTGATCACGTCTTAAATACAGTCGATGGAATAAAAACAGTATTTTATTCATTCAATGCTCTTAGAACAGTAAAAGTTATATCTTTTGTAAAAGCCCTAGTTATATCTTACAGATACCAACCTGTTTTGTTCCACATCCTTTGAGTGGCAGCTCTAGTTTATAAGAGGTGGCTCCCTTGCCTGCGACCTGGCAAGCTGAATGACGATCGAAGTCTGCGTACGCGATGCCATAGAATTTCTCATTGAACTTTAATTCGATCTATAAGAAAAAAGTGACTAATAAAATCTTCTCTCTAATCCTACTAATATTATAATTGCAAAAGTTTGTGAGTGTGTGTGTATGTTTGTTACTTCTTCACACTCAAACGGCTGAACCGTATTTGATAAAATTTTGTATACAGGAAGCTGACGTTTAGGAATAACACATAGGCTACTTCACATCCCGGAAAACCCGGAAATCCGCGGGTAACACCGCGTGGCGCTGCTAGTAACATATGAAGTTTTCGATAGTTTGAATTGAATTTAATACACACCTGCATAGAACCAGCAGCGCAATTCAGTGTAGCTTTCGTCCGGTTCAAGAATATGACTGGACTGAGGTCATCTAATTTGGTCACCTGAGAAATAAAGTGATATATAACATAATATAATTTAAATCTAAATGTTATTTGCTTGCTATTTTAAGCCTAGATAAATCAGGGTGTTTTATTTTCTCTCAACAAAAACGTTTCTTCAGTTTTGCGGTTACCATATTGGCTGTATATAAATCTGTAGAGGCCCGCGGGCGAGATACTCTGTGCATCGGAACCCATTTACAAGAGCACGTTATTTTAACCTTTTTATAATACAATCAACAATTTTTATCTTACAATGTTAATTGGTAACTTTAATACTTTTATTTCAAAATATTTCTTGCTATTCCAAAGATTTTAAATAGAAAAAATATTTTGCTTTATGTTAATTTACCTATATTTATTAAAAGATTTAGTATATCGTCTCATTGAATCAAAAATCAAATGTTTTAATACAAAATTGTATAAACCTTGAAAGCTGTTTCGTAATATTTATATGTATTTTAAACGGAGGTGAATTGTATAATGGAAACACATATATCTGGAGGCGTTTCGGTCCATAATAAGCGTATCTATCACCTCTTAGAACACACAATGGACGCAAACAATGAAAACAGCTAGCTGTGGTAATAATGATTGGCTAAAAACTTGTAGAATAGAAATCGTAACGGGGGAGATTTCATCAATTGTGTTGAGTACATTTTACAATTAAAGAACCGTATGAGAACATTTCTTTTAATTATGTTTCATTTCTGATTCATTTAATGAAGAATATTTTTTTATATCATATATTATTTATTTTATAAAACGTTTCATATAAATTATACTATGATTTTAACATGTTTATTTGCTACTGACTGACAAACAATTTTCTCTCAATTGCCCATAATTGAGTTGTAATAAAGTAAGCGAAATATCTGAGAAGATTTAAAATAATATAACAAATGCTTGTACGCCATTCAAAAATCTTAGATATATATTTAAAACATTTAATCCATTAATCGGAATTCAAATACATTGCATATTTTTTCCTAATAATGAATCGGCTAAATCCTTTAGCTAAATTCCGTAATAGCCAACTATAACATATAATATTTATTAATCTTCTTAATTCTGAATACCTTTCCATCAAGAACCGTCTGCTCCGGTAGACCGTCTCCTTGATATTCGATATTGTTCGCCTGTGATCCATAATTTGACTGTGCGTGCACGACCGCTGAGAAGCAGGCGATCATCAAGAGTAATAGCGCCATCTTTACTGAAATAAATATAACAAATATATAAAAAATATAATATACATATATAGGAGAAAAAATATAAGAGAGTTGATGTCAGGCAGGCGGCCGGTGTAAAAACAAATAGTCAAAACTATTCACAACATGTAAGGCAGACCCTGGCTATAGTTAGAAAATTGCCAGGTAGAAGAAGAAGATTAGAAAAAATATAAATTCTAAATCTTTTATTATAGTAACATAGAAAGAAATTCCCTTAAATTATGAAGGTCTTAAAAACCTTTCGGTTTTGATTTAAGCGTTCATATAACAGTTACATCAATTATAAAGATAAGTAAAGAATTCTTTTTTACAACTTAATTGTTTATTATATAATGTTGAAGTGCGATATCATATGAGAGTAGAAATTCCTCCCACGGAATGAATCTCTTCGGAAAGTCGGTTTTTGTTACCGTTCTTCACAATTTCTCTTTAGTATATATAACCGAATGCTTTCAAGCTAATATTATTTATACAAATACATATTATACTTATAAGTGGAACTTTTCAAGAACATTTGGACATTGTTACAACGTAATGAAATAACCTTATAAAATTCATTTAGAAAATGTAAATTAATTTAATGTTGTTTTTTGTATGAACTACGTAATATTTCATGTAATAGAATGAATTAAAATTTTATATCCATAAAAATATAAGAAATATTGTTATTAACATATATTACGCGATTTTCCGTCATTATATTGATTATAAATGGTTAACTGTAGAAGGTTTTTATCGAAGTTATAATAAAGAACTATATATGTATAATAATAATAAATAGAAAAAATATATATTTCATAGAAATATCGAAATCTTCATATCCCATAGAGATGAAAATTACACACACACACACATACAAACTCACTAAAACATTCAAATAACACTAATATATACCATATTCCACAATCATATTAAGTGGTCATATAAAGAGGAAAGGTGAACCAACAGGCATCATAATTACAAATGTTGCAGGAAGCATTGCAGTTATTAACATTTTTATTAAAGTATTTAGAAAATGCAGGTACAGTACCCGCATATAATTATGAGCTACATAATACCCTTTCTACGATAAAGAGCAAATCGTCACAAATGTGTTATAAATCCGAAAGTATGTAAAAATATTTGTAGCTCTTTCACGGAAAAACTACTTAACTGATTTTGATGAAACTGTACTGTACTGTAGCTGAGATACCAAATCAAGGTATAATCTATAATTTATTCCAAAATCACATAACGCAAGGTATAGATGTCGCTCTTTACCAGTAAGCATGTCTATATATTATTTTAAAACACTTTATATATTTATTTTGGACCTATTTACGAATACAATTCGAATGCAGTGGCTGGAAAAAAACTAGTTTTCTTTAATACTATTAAGGACACTAAACAAAAGTAGTTCCTCCTACAGAATTGCCCAGAATGTATACGATCCGATTGGCAATAATTTTAATTAACCATTTCTATATATTATCAAAAAATAACAGTTAATATGTCTTTTTCTATCTAGAGTCGGCGCCAAGTTATTTAATGAGTCTAATGACTAACAAAGCGATGATCTAATCTGTCTAGAGAGAGCATATAATATTCGCCAAACAAGTTATACATAATTGAATATGTTACCGAGGTTAAGAGACTCAAATGTCTTGTATAAACATAAAAATATCCTTCTGCCTGGCAATTTCTCAGCTTTAGCCAGGGTCTGCCTTTCATGTAGTAAATATTTTTGGCTAATTGTTTTATGACCGGCTGCCTGCCTGACATCAACCCTCTTTGGGAATGCATTAATCAGTGATGTCTAAATACTCTTAGAAAGTACATATGACTCAGAAAAATCACATTGGTACTTGCCAGGATCGAACCCGCGCCCTCGGGCACGAGAGTCGGGCCTTTTGACCACCACAACTGACTTATAAACATAACATAAAAATATACACTATTATTATTTTACATAAATGAATAAACTATAATTTAAATAATTGTTAGTACAAGTCATAAGTTTCTCTATATGTTCTTCCTTATACGTCTGTTCCTTTGCATTAAATATAATTATACCAATATAGGTATGGTCATTACGATTAATATTATATTATTTTCTATTCTAATAATCATATAAAATGTTATATAATAGGATATAAATCTAAACCAAGTAGGCGTTAGACTGATAGTTAAATTGGCTCCGTGTACTCTTAAACCTCACGTGAAATATTCTGCAGCTTTTAGAGAGTTTAAGCCACAATAATAAGATTGTACATACGTATATAAATATAATAGCAACATTGTTTTGTTATATATATTAGTTTATTTGAAGAAAAGCGTATTATTTTGCAACTAGTCTGAGGCTTTGCCCTGAAGATGCAAGTCCATTATCGTTAGTCAAAACAATGAGCTATATCAGTGTCGAAAGCTGTCAAGGATTTTACTTAATCAATTTGTAATCAGAGTCAAATTTGCATGCAAGATTTGAAAATTACCAAAAACCTGACACAGTGCAAACAAAAATACAGAGAAGTAAAAGATAACTTCTGTAGCAGGAACAACCATATGTTGTATGATAATGCTCAACACACAATGCGTGCATCTTACAATCAGATACAAAAACTGGACCTCATGTTTGATACTCATAATGATATAATAACAAACTTTATGACCACGGAGTTCTTTCACCCTTACAACATCACACGACTCGTAATAGTTATATAAAGCAATCACAAAACACACATTATATATACATATAAGAAATTATAACTATTAAAAAATTCGCCCGAGCAGAGGATTGTTATTATATTAAGATTAATAAGCATATTTTAATTTAAAGACGAAAATAACAAGGTTATTCTTTGTTACATTAGCTAACTGCCAGTTAAGATTCTATCAGAATCGGTCCAACCATGTCAGAGATTATCCAGAACAAACAGACACATTGACGAACAAAAATTATAAAAACTTTTACATTGGTATAAATACCATGTACATTCAATGACTATGGGGTATTTTAGTAAACAGACAATTAAATTTAAATATTTTTTTGATAGATATAAATGCAAACTATGTAGTGCATCCATCGACTTAAAAATACTCGTTTCTTCCATATATATAATAAAGTAATGTAAATAATAATAAATAAAAATGAAGCCATTTCCTCGAGTCTTTTGAGATGTCATTTTGCAAAGCAGTAACCACCGAATTTATAGCCAGGAACGCGGTTTTACGACACACGGTGCATTGAACTGTGTTTTGTATCGGAGATATTGTGTTTAGTTTACTTTAAATTTATAAAACGTCATGTTGGATTCCTCTCTGATATAATATTGAACATATTTCTTTTATAAAACTAATAAGTGAAAATAAATTGTACTTATTTTTGAATTAACAAAATAAGAACAATATGAAAAAAGTATAAATATTGTGAGTAACAAAAACTCTATAACGGTATTAACATATTATATACTCGTACATATATATCTTTGGAAAACTTATTTTCCTGAAGCACTATTAAGTAACTTTAAATATAAAGTAAGTAAAATTTAATAGTATAATAGATTTTAATAAAATAATGTATAGCTAGTATTTTACAATACAAATACGAAAAAAAAATTAAGCATAAAGACATTTGTTTCTTTTTAAGTACAATTAAATTGTAAAATTCCCTATCTAAAAGTATTTCTATGTGTTTCGGTAACATCTATCTCGACGTTTAAATGATTAACTGGAACGAACAGAAACGTGAATAGACAAAAAAGATTTATGTTATTTCTGGTTACAAACACCTAAAAGACTTTATACGCGTTCAAAATTAAATTTTAATTGCTTTATTTTTATTTATTTCTTCATTTCATTTTTATTTTAAAGATGATTGATAGCTCAATAATAAAAAATATTTTTTATTAGTTTATTATATGGCACAGGCGTAATATATTTTCTAAATATTTTGTCAAAGTTACCGCACTTTATATAAAAAATATATATATATATGCTCATGTGACTGATACAACTAAATACTATTAAGGAATTTTTCACCTTAAGCATATAGCCATAAAGTCGATAATTATTTCAAAGTATATAAACCAGTAATTCAGGTAAAGTTGATTTAATTAACACGTACAATGCAAAGAAACCATTGCCTTCAGAGACTGATATGTTAATAGAAAGGTCTCGATACATGTACGTACAAAATAATTGTAGATACATAAAAAAAAATGCTTTAAAAAAGTTCAAAGTTTAAGTAAAATTATGTTTAATTACATATATGATTAAAATTCCAAGCTTATTTCTTGATTTGGTTAAGATTAAACGTTCATACCGAACTTTAATGCTAGTGGGTTTTAAGTGAACATATGTATTGCTGATAATGTCATAATGGTTTGAAAGCAGGTGGGTCGTGGGCGCAGCTCCTACACATCACAGATCTTGCCTTGCGATTTATAAATTTGATGTAGAAGGTCACCGAGTAGACATCTGAATTAAAAAATACCTACACTTAGAACTTGAGAGTTTTAAAGTGTCCAGAAACACAATTAAAATGCAAAAAAGATTGACGCTATTTGGAATTTAAATTATATGAAAAATAACAAAAAAATCAAATTCATATTTCTCCGTATTTTTTACATATTTCATATTTCTTCAATATTTACAAGGTTGAGAAACTGTCACTATGAGAATATGACAAGACACATAGATGGTACATTCCTGAACAAAAACAAATGACTCCTATGTTTTAAATAACCTTAAAAGAATCTCTTATTTCTTCTTTATATAATTGAACTACGATTAATATCTATAAACCTCTGTTTTCTCACAATTTTCAAATATAAACAAAATATACTACATTAAAATAATGTGAGAAAGGGCTATTTACGGAGCACATTACATGAGATTTAAGTTAGACTTCTTACGAGATTGACAAATCAGCGGATGTTTTGCAAACACCGCGCAAGGCTTCGCCAATCTAAAACTCCTTTTGACAATCGTATCAGAAATGA